GTGACAGGGGTTCTCAACTAGGCCTAGGCTAGACCTATATCGCAGTAGGGGAAAAAATGGTTCATTGAATAAACACTGAATAAATTTTACACAACCTTGGCATTACCTTACAGCTTGGCATTACCTTACAGACGCGTGTGAATGCTTTTTATCTCGGTAGGAATAACTCGGGAGATCGCTCGGTTACAATTTGTTACTTTTTGTTAAATTTAACTTCACGTGTGAATCGGGTATTAGTTAGTTTTACTTGTGTTTCTCCACTGTGTAGTGTTACTAACATATATGATGGACATAACCTAGATATCATATCAGTAGCATGTAAAACTACTTCAGAATTGCGTACAAAAGCTGGGACTCTAGCCCTTAATTTTACAGTTTTGGTATGGCCTGGCTTAATTGTAACATGCGATGTTGGCTTGAATTTGAATACTTTTGGTCTGATGTGAAATGTGTTATCCCGAAAGTTTAAAGTTCCATCTAAGTCAGCTAACGTTTCTGTACCTAAGACTAAATCAATGCCAGTCAAATTTTCTACAATCAAAGCGGAAATTTTAAATTTGTGACTTTGTATTGATAAATCAAATTTCAACATGTACTTGGCATATAAGTATTCACCGTTCCCTAAACGAAATTTAGTCGGTTGTACGAGTGTAGGCGTAAGCTGTGACAAATACTTTGAAGATTGGACATAGGATTGAGATATAATTGTCTTTGTAGCACCGCTGTCAAATAAAGTCAAAACATTTTTGCCATCAGGTAAATTACCTATAACATAATTTTTAGCATTTAACTGTAAATCAACCTTATCTGAATTTCCAAGATATTGCGCCTTGTGTGAATGCAATGCTGGTTCTTGTCTGTTTGCACTAAGTATTGTATGGGGACTTGAACAATTGGCGCAGTTGTGTAATCCCCTTAATGAAAATGTGGATTCTGTCGTCTGTTGGTATAAACTGACTGAAAATTTTGTTGAGGTGGACGTTGGTTTAATTCGGTGGCACGTTGTCTACATTCGCGCCAAACGTGACCTGGTTTAGAACAATAATGACAAACTATATACCTCGTTCTGTTATTAAATCGATGCCTAGTTTGGCGATATGGGCTTGGGCTTCGACGGGAATTATTATTTCTTGGTGCATGGTGTCGTTCGACTGAACGTGAACGCCTAGGGCTATCAGTGGGCCTATTCAAGTTATTTTTATCAGTTGCAAGGTCAATTTTTAATGCATTAAGTTCGTGTTTAAGTGTTACAATTTCAGATGTTTCTTGAATATTGAAACTGATTTCTCGTGGCTTATCCTCCACGGACAGATCAAGGTAATTTTGAGCACTAGTTGCTAGATTATCTAGTGTAGCATCAGCCGGTATTGACATAGCAACCGCTGCTCTACATTTAGGTGGTAGTGTTGCAATAAATTTATTTTTTATCTGTGGATCTGCGTATCCTATTCTGTGTGCTGCCTGTTTGATACGGGTAATATGCCTTTCAGCACTATCCCCTGTCTGGTAAGTGATTGAGTCGTACTCCCTAATGTGGGCGTACACTGATTTGTTTTTGCTAAACCTGTTAATAAATTGAGTTTTCAAGTTGTCTTTCCTTGGATCCATAGCCTAGCCTGACCTTGTAAACTACGCTTAAAAATGCTAATGACATTTTGTAATGCAGCATCATCTGCAGGATTTTGTAACGTATGGGCTTCTAAGTAGTCCATAAAGGAAAGAAAGTGCGCACTACATTGATCATGGTCTGTTGTTTCACCATCATAGCGTTTAGGTAGGAAATCTGTCTGCCTCAATTGAGGGGCTTGTGGCACCTGTGGTGCTTCGTCTACCATTATGATTAAATTAGCAAATTAGATTTTTTTTTTAAATATGGTAATGCAAATACATTAACTAAACTCAATTGTTCAACGGAAGCAGCAAATGCAATGATTGAAAATACACTCAAACTCTTTCACACAATGATGGAATTTAACAATGTATTCAACTTACTCATTTACTTCATTCTTGATAAACAAAATGCAATTTCCAAGCAAACGAAAGTTCAGTAAAGAAATGAAATTTAAGGGAAATTAAATGTTCGAAGTTAAATGTTCAAAGTTTAACGTTGGCCTAAAGTTCAAAAGTTAGAGCGTTTTCCATCGTCATGGGGTGAAGTCCAAGTGAAGTCGGCTTGTCTTGAATCCTAATAACTTTCGGTCATCTGTCGGCTTGTCTCGAATCCTAAAAGTTTGTCATCTGTCGGCTTGTCTCGAATCCGAACATGGTGTTCGGTTGTCAGCTTGTCACAAATCCGATTATTTTTTTTTTCGTAAATTATTTTTTTCGTTTCAATTCTCTTCCTGTAATGTGGATGCCTGTTGTTTTGTTTAACTTCTCATGGGTTTCAATTCTTGTTAGTTAGTTGCGTGCGGTATATGAAGAAAAATTTTAATTCAGTTCCATTCTAGTCATCCAGACAGGACCAACAATCTGCTTAACCGCAATTCGGGTATCTTTTAGTCGTTTAGTGCGTCCTCAATTGTTTGGCAATATGTGCTCAGCTTTGGAGAGGAGGTACCTTGAAATCAATGATTAGGGTCTTCCACCATGTTGAATATCGGTTAGTTGTTGGTGACTTTGAATGAGTACTATGACACAGTTCCTTTTAGTTTACTGCAAACTTTTATTCACACAAACTGTACGTTGGTTACAATCAGCTAATCTCCAGGTTTCAGATGTTAGAGAACCCTTTTAGACTGGAGTCAGCTCGGCCCTGTACTTTTCTTCTGTGTTGAATCTAACTACTGACTACTGATTACTGATCACTGACTACTGATTACTGACTACTCACTACTGATTACTGACCATTGCTGATTCAGTGATACGGGGGTGTTTGCCTATTAAAAAAACCTTAATTTACAATATCATTTATATGCTGATGATTTACAAATTTATATTGATTTTAGTCCCTCGGAATCTCTTGAGATTATTGCCCGATTTGAAGATTGTCTTTGTAAAATATCATCTTGGCTTTCTCATAACATGCTACGACTTAATTATACTAAAACTGAATTCATAATTTTCTGTACTAAACACCTTCGACCCAAAATTAATATTTCTTCACTTTCCTTTAATTCATGCACTATATTTCCTTCACATTCTGTTAAAAACCTTGGTGTTTTCTTTGATGAATCTCTTTGTTTTAATAACCATATAAGTCACATTACTAAAACTACTAACTTTCATCTACGCAATATTGCGAATATCAGAAAATATATTTCAAAACACACAGCTGCCGTATTAATAAATGCATTGGTCACGCCCCTTCTGGATTATTGCAACTCCCTTTTCTACTCGTTACCAAAAACTGCGATAAATCGCCTTCAACGTCTTCAAAATTCAGCTGCACGTATTCTGACTCTTACTTCTAGACGCTCACATATATCACCGGTAATTTATCATTTACATTGGCTCCGTATTGAATCTCGTATCAAATACAAAATCCTGCTATTAACGTTCAAAGCACTATTTTACAAACAACCCACTTACCTTGTTGAACTCAATTCATGCGTATGCCCCACCTACTTGTCTCCGTTCTTCTGATAAAAATCGTTTAGTTGTTCCTAGGATTAACACCAAAACCTTTGGTTCTAGATCATATTCATTTTCCGCAGCATCCCTTTGGAACTCATTGCCCAAACATATTATCCAATCACCGTCAGTTGCTATTTTTAAGACAAAACTTAAGACGCACCTTTTTACCATCTAAATGTTAAGCGCCTTTGATTTTTACTTCGGTATAGTTGAAATTGGCGCTATATAAATTATTATTATTATTATTATTATTATTATTATTATTATTATTATTATATTATATCGAACAAATATATAAATGTCAAAACCTTAAAACAAGTTTACATCTTTATTAATTTGATAAGGACTTATGCAAATAAGAGCAATGTTAGGTATATATTTTTCTAAATGAAAATATTTAAATGAAATTTCGTATACATCGGTGGCAACAGGATTTGAACAAAGTGTTGAGGTTCGCTCTAAATCTTTAGGAAGTGGTCAGGGGTAGGGGCGAAGATTAAAAATATTCCAATTTACACGCCTATGTACAACCGGTAAATATTCCATTGTACAATCTATTATACAAACACAACGTATAATATAAGCCTACAGGTACAGCATATTAATATTTTCTTTTCGACGAAACAGGTTAGGAAAAAAAAAGCATTATGACGTCATTGATGATTGTACTGTGCATACTGAAAGCGGTGATTAAACCGGCATGTCTTGAGTCTGGCTTAGGCTCTGGACCAGACTTGAATTTACCTGGTTCTGAAATGATTGAAAAGCATACGGCTTGTTAGTACTTTTAGCTGATTACCTTTATTGTCTTAATGGCACAACAAATATATAATATATATATTATACATGTACATTTACATATAATTTATATATATATATATATATACATATATGCATATTATGTATAGTGTAGATAAGCCAAGTTTTTAAGAATTGCAAAAAAAATGGAGCTGCAATAAAAGAAAGCCGAAGTCTTTGTTTAAGCGATGAGAATGAGTTTTAAGTTTGAGTATCCAGTTAAGTTCAGAACAGTGGCGATGAGCAGGTGATTTAAAGTCAGAACAATGAGAACGCATTTATTATTGCACGTAAATAGTCTGTTAGATTTCTATAAGATACATCCTCTTCTGTTCATTATTATCCTATTGCTGGTTCTGAAATGAAGCGATAGTCCTTCCTGAGTTGTAACTGAGTTATGTTAATAAAAATCACATAGTTAAATGATGCTAGCACTTCAAAAGAATTAGGCAAGCATGGCTGTAGAAACACAAGAAAATTATAGCAAAATCTTAATAACACAAGAGAGACCGCTCAATGGTCCTCGCGTTAACATGTGTTAAAGTGTTTAACGCTTCGTGTATACATCTTCACAAGAGGTTTATTTGTTGTTTACACTATTAAAACATGTTTAAATAATGAAGGAAATGCCGTCCATGCTTAGGCCTAAATACAATACACAGTGGAGTAAGTTATTTATTAGGTAATAGACAGGGGTTCATAATCGCAATTAATTAATACTAATAACAGATAGAATACATTATAAAAATACAAAATACAGGAGAAAAAAAAGTTAAAATATCTTAATGAAAAGAAAAATTGAATACCAAGACGCGCGATTCAAACTCACGATGGTTCCTTATTAGATAACAGATCGTTAACCGATCGCGTTATCCATGCGACGTATCCTAGTAGTGGTAATGGCTTTAATCTACAGTCCTTTCTGAAACCCTTGTTTTCTTTTGTAGGTTTATGGGGGAAAATAAGGGGTCATGAAATCACCTCTAGTTTATATGTACAAAATTGCATATACATCCGTTGAAAACTGGCGACGATGAACGTATTTCAAATTCTGGTAACAACAACATGAACAGATCAGCAGTGAGGTCCTGGGGTCCTTCCTTGCATGGACCCATTATTATAATGGAAATTTTGAAATTACAAAGTACTGTTCACTGTTGAATATCCATTACTATTTGTACGTTTGCTGTTAATTCAATGATTTCATTTTACAGAATTGATTGTCGAGCTTGAAACGGTTTACCTATCTTGGAGTACGATTGATGTTTGTCCACTGCATCATACTTGCCAAGGTAGATGTGGGACACCTACGAGCAGGCAGTGGATGTGCAACTGTGACTCGTATTGTGAGATTTATGGAGATTGCTGTTACGATTACTGGACAAATTGCAACGACAAAGAAGCTCGGATCCCTTCTATGACATTGTGGGACCGTACAGTTTGTAAAGGTGGCTCGTACTATTTGATTTCCAAATGCAGTCCAGGAACATTTAATGAACAGGTTCGCTTGAACTGTGAACAGCCAAATCAAGACGACCTTCTTCTTAGTATTCCAGTCAGTGACGCTTCTAATTTAGGTTATTTAAACGTATATTGTGCTCTGTGTAATGGCGTACCGATGTCGGATGTTGTAGCATGGAAAGTTACTGTCAATTGTATTTACCCTGAATCCGTGGCTATATGGATAGGCGAAGAACCACTACAGACAACAACCATGGCTCCAACAACTCCCATAAATTTTAAAAACATTATTTCTGAGATTGATCGCGCGCCTAGTCGGTATTATGTATATGAACCAACTCAAAACTACAGTAAGAGATATTGCCCTTATGATCGTCATCCCGGAATAAAATATTGCCCACGTGACTTTCCTGATATTGATGTAGCATATAAATGCAAGATCTACATTGCACCAGTGTACGCCAAATTTGGTGGGAAGTACGCAAACACACATTGCGCACGTTGTCATGGTAGGCCTATAAGCCTACAACAAAATACTTGCCTGAAAACCGAAAGTGATGCTCAATACGTCAATATAGTTGAAAATAATATGATCATACCCATCACAATTTTGCTGGACTTTTCCTCAGGTTCAGCCTTAAGTGTCGAATCATCACGGTTGAGTTTTACCTCTTCGGGAGCATATTGCGATTCTGGTCAAGTCTTCAATCCTTTTATTGGAGAATCTGGCGAATGCATCACAATCACTTGCCAAAAAGACGAGCTCCTTACTAAGAATGGCTGCATAAAACCTGGTATTCCAATGCATGCACCTGCACAATTTCAAATAGATCCCGGATACTCTAGTAAACTCCTATGTTTATGTAAACATGATAGCAGAATCCAGTTACGATACAACTTTACAAACAATGATGTTCTGACTAGGATCAGGTCATGGATACAATTTCAAAATTTATCATTCGAATTTCATAGTTCTGGTAAACCTCCAATAATGTATACAATATATTTCAATACGTCACATTGTGACGTGTTGGAAAGTATTACCCAAATAATCTATCAGCAGATCAATAGCGAGAATACACATTTGTTGGAATATATCACCATACTACAAGCGTGTGTAAATACAAAAAACAATATGACACCACACAATGATTACAAAAATTGTAATGATCTGGAGTTAAATGTGGATATGGTAAATATCGAGAAAATGAATGAATCAGTAAAAGTGTCAGACGAAAATAAAACGTTTACAATATCAGAAAGTGATTATCGAGTGGAAATGACGTTTAATATCGTAAGCGAATCAGCAAAGCCGATTAAAGTCAGCATATCAAATTGTCTTGATCGTTCACCTGACCCAACATGTCCACTCATTGCTCTGAACATCAACGATTTTGAAGTCATAGAAAATACAATTTGGATGTACAAGCCGAACGGTCGTCAGTTTACAATTGATGAGATTGCAGTATTTTCTAATGACTCTGTTTATGTCTGCTCTTTCTTTTCTCAAAACGGAACGCATACATATGTATCAACCATATTCATTTATGATAAAACCTTGCAGATTTTGAACGTCGTTGGAGTCTCTTGTTCACTCCTCGGTCTGTTTTTGACATTTATTATACGTTGCATTAAAAAAGACCTTCGGACTATTTCTGGCAAAATTGTAATGAACATTGCGGCGGCATTGTTTCTGGCACAGTTTGGGACGTTGTTGGCAAAAACTTTAGTTGAATCCAAACTAGGATGTGTTGCTGTAGCTGCACTTTTGCATTATCTGTGGTTGGTGGCATTTATGTGGATGTTTATAATGTCAACAATATTGTTCAAATCGTTCCGTTCTTTAAAATCAGCTGTAGAGCATCGCAGAGGAAGACAATCTATTACGATGCCTTTCTTTTGTTGTTGGGGACTTCCAGTTTTGGTTGTCGCTGTCGCTATGACTTTTCACATTTGGGAATACGCTCCTATCAAATTCTCATACGGTGACAAAACAGTTTGTTGGATACGCGATGAGTTTGCTGCCTTCTTGTTCTTAGGTATTCCCATGGCAACGATCCTTGCTTTAAACAGCATTATGTTTGTCGTTATAGTGTGCGGGATTTACCAAACTTAAATGAGCTCTAAAACGATGCGAGGATCTTCCACAAAGAAAGATATTTCTACTAATCTCATCATATTTGCAAAGGTAAATAAATGGAATGAAATGCATTATTTTTAGTCACGCATTAACGCTAAATAGCAGGTTTGGCCAAAAACAAGAGGCAGAAAGATGTAATTTAAAGCTTGATTAAATGAAAAGCACCAAAAAACAGTTGAGTGCATAAATATAATTGATAATAACATAATATGAATTACAAAATGGATTAAAAGCATAGGAAATTATCTTGATTCTAATGGTTATGACGCTCGCCTTTACAGCGAGAGCTCGCAGGTTCGAGACGCGGCAGAGGCATTTTATTACACAATTTCTTTATTCATTTATATACAAGGCTACGTTCGTTGAGAGCAATGCTACACGATATATTATCATGTCCTTTATTCTAACACTGTATTTAACTTTATTTTATGATTATTATATAATTTAACAGTGTTAACGGATATCTTGATTTATATTATACGCAACTATATTTTTCTAGCCGTAATTTTTGTGTAATGGAGTGTATCTGGTGGTATTTGAATCTCTTCAACCTTGAATCCTCTTTGTGGTCTAATGGTTATGACGCTCGCCTGGACAGTGAGAGGTCGCAGGTTGGAGTCCCGCCAGAGGCATTTTATTACACAATTTCTTTATTCATTTATTTACACGACTACGTTCGTTGAGAGCCGTAATTATTGTGCAGTGCAGTGGAGTGTATCTGGTGGTATTACACATCTAGATGTGTATAAGAGACAGGTGTACGTGGGATTGACTTGGATCTTTGGGTTTCTTGCTTCATTCGTCGACGAACCATTCCTTTGGTATATCTTCGTGATATTGAATAGTTTCCAAGGAGTGTTCATATTCATAATATTCAATTCAACACTTGTGGCGGCGCTGTTCAGAAGAAAGCAAAGAAAACAAGCCACTACTATCACCAATACGTAATAGTCTGTGATTTCTGGACTACTAGTTTCCACATTTACTTAATCAGCATTATGTTAAGCATGTTTCAGAAACATTTTTTGCAAGTTAAGATCTTTACAGTCTATTTTGTTTCTTCGATCCTTCTGTGATAAATATTAGAAAACTATATTTTCAAATTTGCATACGAAATTACCACGTGTAAAATTTTATCGAATGAAACATATTAAAATAGAAAGAAATTATAATAATCGCACATTTACATGAAGAGATTATAAATGATTCCTTTTGATAACTGTATTCATGGCTCTACAAAATGATGTTATAATGTAAGTAATCTTGTTTAGGTTAGGCATATGAACTTGGTGAACTAACAAAAATAGTATTTACAGATAAACACTTAATGGCAACTAGCCTTGCCTAAGCTAAATGTTGATGAGGTCTTACTTTCATTCAGACTCCTAAAACAAAACGATGATGTCTTTAAAGGTATAATGTTTATTTATTTTATGCTAAAAAATATCGTGGTGCCGTGTCAAGGTTTCTTTTCTAAGAAGAAATAACAAATTGAAAGACGATTAAGTTAGAAAAGCGGGATCGACTTAGTGATAGTTCGTAAGAGGCTATTTCTATAAACTATGCGGACGAAATATTTGTATATTTTTTATTTAAATTTAGGTATCGAAAGTTCGTCACTTTGGATAAACAATTCTATTGTGTAGCTACCGTAGTTGGTACATTATTCAATAAGCTAATGTAAAAGGTCTATTCCATTGCTTTTGATATACACTAAATATTATACAGCAATTTCGATGTGTCACAGTAATGGTTATGTTTTATATACCAGAAATGTGTGGTAACTTTAATTTTAATTGTGATCGTAATTATACAGTAGGCCTA